TTTCTATGTCAGAGCAGAACCTCGTAAATCATTCAGATCGCCCCCCATCCCGCTGTGTGAATGAGACAGAGATGCCATAGGCAGCAAAGTGGTACAGGGTGCGGGGCGCAGGGCTGGGACAAGAGCCCACTGGGGCTGGACTCACGGACACTGTCTGAATCCTTAAGAAGCAACTCCCACGGAGTTTCTATCTGAATGACCATTTCCTCCCAGGGCTGCCAGAGATGCTGCTCAGAGGAAGGTGTGCCAGATTCAGCAAATGCTGTGTGGGATGTACTTACGCTAAAAAATAGCTCACTGTTTATCTGAAATTCTCATTTAGGCGGGTGCTCTGTATTTTCTCTGGAAACACTATCCAGAGCGTCCTGAGAGATCCCTGTATGGTCAGCCACACCTCCAGCACAAAATGGGAGCCAGGAAATAAGGAGCCGCAAACCTTCTGGCTGTCTGGTGTGAAAGGCCTCCACCTAAGCATAAGGTTGACACCCTCCTTCCATGGGCACCTCCTTCCCTCCTTCCCACTCAGAGGAAGCCTCTTGCCTGCTGCCCGCAGAGGTCTTGTGATGTCCTCTCGGCTCCTCCCGTTTCCACATGTTTTTTCCATAGCAGGTGCCCATTACTAAGGGTAGGCCATGAAGGACACTCCCGATCCATTTCTCCAGCCTCCCCCTTGACAGACATTACTAATCGATCCTGGCACCCTTCCCATTGACCTGGGCCAGCCCTAGATGCCTCTGCAGAACCTGGTGTCTCTGATCCTCCAGTAACTTAATGGACGAGAGATGGCTCTTGTGGAGAGGACATGGTCAGGTGCAAGACTGGGGAGCAGGCGGTAAGAACTGAAAGTCACAGCACAACTTGACCCGGAAAACAAAAGCGAGAAGGCTAGGGGGTCGTTCACCCCCAGGATAGCCCTGGTGGGACCCCACAGAGCAGGAGGAGGGGCAAGGAGAGGACAGAGGATGGGAGATTCCCAGGCAGGAGTAGAGCCAGGGCTGGGCAAGGAGAGGCAGAGAAGCAGCAATTAAAACTCCCCCGGCTATTCCTGGGGACAAGGCAGCAGGCAGGAGGGGGAAGTCATTGCTGGAAGCCAAGGTGGCCACGTACTCAGGCCCCACAGAGGGGGCCACAAAGCTGCCAAGCTGGGGTGGGGCCAGCTCGGGGTATGTGCACTTTTGGAGGAGGACGCTTGGCGACTCAGCTCCAAGAGGGGAGCCCCTCACACCAGGGCACCGGCTCCTAAATGGTAGTGCAGAGATTCTTGTCCAAGCTCAGCACTGCCCCACTAAGAAGCTACCCGAGGAATAAATGATCCCACTCCCTCACTTCCACTTAAGGAAACTAGGGACCCAAAGAGGGGAAGTGACTTGTCCGAGGTTTGCCAGTAAGTTGGTATGAAGCAAGTAGATCCAGGCGCCGTCAGGGGCCCTTCCGGAGCTGGTGTGAACACTGACCCAGGGCACCGGCAAACGAAGGTGCCAGCCCCTCGGAACTCAGGGGCTGTCTGCAGCCTTGGGGGTCCAGGAGGCTCCTGCTTCTAGAAGCTTGGGTTTCTGAACTTAAGGCCCAACTGACTGAGAGCAGATGAGAATACCTCCCAGAAATCATTCTCAGATTTCACCGTGGTACGCCGCTCAGTCTGAAAAGCTGTGGCCATTTCTGGAAAAAAACTCTCTCCTCGAAGATATCCTCATTTTACCCCCTGCTAGAATGAAGGGCCAAGGTAGGAAGATATACCCAAAGAGTCCTATCTCCACTAGAGGCCCAAGCTTTCTGACTATAGGCAAGGCCAGAAGAGGACGCACCTGCTTGCCCCGGCCCCAACCTCCCAAGCAGCTGCTATGGGAGAGATGAAAGCCAAAGACATGGGCTGAACTTGGCCTCCCCATACCAACGCGTGGCTGACTTCCAGTCTGTCACTGCCTTTTTGAGCTCAATTTTCTTACCTGTAACATGGGGACAGTAGGAAAGACCTTACCAGGTTGTTAGATGATGTAAGTGCTAAGGGCAGAATATCTCTGTGAGAGCATCAAGGGCTACAGATGCTTTTTTTTTTTTTTTTTTTTTTTTTTTTTTTTAGACAGAGCCTCAAGCTGTCCCCCTGGGTAGAGTGTCGTGGCATTACAGCTCACAGCAACCTCCAACTCCTGGGCTCAAGCGAGTCTCCTGCCTCCGCCTCCCAAGTAGCTGGGACCACAGGCGCCCGCCACAACGCCCGGCTATTTTTTGGTTGCAGCCGTCATTGTTGTTTGGCGGGTCCGGGCTGGGGATTCGAACCCGCCACCTCAGGTGTACGTGGCTGGCGCCTTAGCCGGTTGAGCTATAGGCGCCGAGCCTACAGATGCTATTCTTGTCCACATATTCAAACTTCTCTGAACTAGAGGGGCCAGAAAGAATTACAGAAACACCAGCAATAAGAATAGCAATGACAGTAATAACTACCCTTTAAAGAGTAACTACTATGTGTTACTAAGCTTTTCTTCCTTGATCCTCACAACCAGAGAAGGGAGATTCTACATCGTGCTCATTTTGGGGCCTCGAGAGGTTAAGTGACACGCCTGGGGTCACCCAGAAAGGTAAAGACCAAACAAGACTAATGACATTCACACTCAGGCTCATCGGACACCTGCACTCTGGGGTAAACCACATCTCTCTTCTACAGGGTGAGGTGTGTTTTCTAACCATGAGTCTGTCCATTCATTCATTCATTTGAGACAAGGTCTCACTCTGGCTCCTAGTCTAGAGTGCAGTGTTGCAATTGTCGCTCACAGCAACCTCAAACTACTGGGCTCCAGTGATCCTCCTGCCACTGCCTCCCAAGTAACTGGGACTAGAGGTGCACACCACCACACACAGCTGATTTTTAAATTACAATTATTATTACTATTTGCAGAGATGGGGTCTCACTATGTTACTCAGGCTGGTCTCAAACTTCTGGCCTCAAGCAATCTTCCCACTTTAGCTTCCCAAAGTGCTGGGATTACAGGTGTCAACCACTGCCTCTGAATTTTTTGTTTACTTTTTCTTGTCTTCCCCAAATGAGGAAGGCTGGGACACAGGAGCTGCTTCTCTGGGATGGACTGTTTTAAACAGTGTTCCCTAAAGACCTGGAGACAGAGGCTCCCTAGGGAGGTGCCACCACTCCTTCTCTGTGCTGCAGGGCTGTCACGGTGTAAATTAGGGCAACCTCTGCAGGGTGATGACTTGGCAACACATACAGAGCATCTTAAAAATGTGCACCTCCATGAGGCTAGCAAGCCCCGTCTCCTGACCAGATCACTTTGTAAAGAGGCCTGCTTTCAAAGGTGTTCACGGGTTCACTCCTGCCAGATGAAAAAGTTCTGGGGACTGATTGCACCGCATTGTGAATACACTTACCCCTGCTGAGCTGTACTCTCAAAAGTACTTAAGAGGGACAATTGTATGTTCTGTGTATTTCACCACCATTAAAAATAGAAACAAAAAGATGTTCACTACAGTGTGGTTTATATGAAAGAAAAACTACAGCCACCTAATTTCCCATCACTAGGAGATTCATTAACTAAACGATGGTTTTTCTAAACAATCATGACTTAGTACAGGCGTCAAACTGTGGCCCCTGGGACAAATCTAGTAGTTTCAGTATATAAAGTTTTATTGACATACAGCTGCACCACCCCCCCCATTTGCCTATTGAGCCTGGTAGCCTTTATCTAAGTGAGACCAGGTGAGTCAGAGTTGAAACTACATGGTACATGAGCCCCAGAGTCTAACCCTTTAAGAAAAGTTTGCTGACTCTTAGAAGATCAAAGACCCAGAAATACATCACAATAGGAAAAGCAAGCTCCCACACATAGCCACACAGAGAGCTCAATTTCAAAAGGAAAATTTGAAATAATGTGTATTCACCCAAATGGTTATAAGCGCACAGTTAGAGCACACCGTGATCATCTCTGGATTGTAGGAACAGATTAATTTTGTTTTCTTTCAACTTTCCATGTTTTCTAATATATCTGTATTAAAAATGCATGACTGTAATAATCAGGATAAATAATAAATACCATTTTATCATGGTCTCGGTCCTTCTAGGGAGTGACACTCTGACACTCTTGCTGAACAGGTCTGAGGTGGCCTTTGTCAGGGACACTGGAAGTCGTAGATCTGTTGTGCTAACACCCTCTCTCCCACCAGAGCTTACAATGGGGCAGGCTGGGGGAAGACACCCCATGGGAGATCTCATGAAAAACCCAGAGATGGTGCTCCTGTTAAGAATCTCCTCTTTTCCATAAATGACTCCAGGGACCCAGGAGGGTGGATCCGATTTTTGGACTCAGCCTTTGGTGCCATTAGCTGAGGACAAGGGGATTTGCTCTCATGGATTGAGTATCGGAGGATGAAGTGGGAAATTGTGAGTGGGGTGGTTGGCACAGATTTTGTTGGACCTACTGAGCACTGCAAAACCCCACTGCAATCAAAGAGTGGTGACGCTACCTCAATCCAGAAATCCCAAGATTGCCTTCTAATCCTCCTGGGTGTTGTCTCATTTTACAGGTAGGGAAGCTGAGGCCCAGAGCTCACTCCCCTCAAGGCCCCACAATTGGCCCAGGCTGGAGCTGGGGAGCCACGTACTCAGGCCCCCAGGAACTGGAAATTGTCTGGCTCCCTAACTCCGTGGAGTTCACTATGGGTTATCCCCTATTAGCAATACTTTAGGGGGCTGGGTCACTAATAGGTAGAGCTCTATTCACATGGCTATATTATCCCCTTTTTCAAGTGGGAACCTGAGGGTGAGTGGTCCAAGTGATGTGCCCAGCAAGGTGGGACACACACCCAGCAGTGCTCAGACTTCAGAGATGATAGTGCCTCCTCTTCTTCTTCTTCTTCTTCTAACTTGTTCCTTTAGACACCCCCTTTCAAATCCCACTTCCTGCCACGTCCAGGGGCCCGGGAGCCCTTTCAGAAAGGGCAAGCCAAAAGGGCTGCTTGCAGGAAGTGCCAAATAGGTTTGAGGGCAAACCTACCTCTCAGCTGGGGCTGCCTCTCCTGTGAAATGGGTTCCCAACTGCTGACAGATCAACAAGTCTCTGTTTATTGCCTCCGAAGCTTTCAGCCCAGGCACATCCCAGCTTCACGGCAGCAGGAATCTCACTTCCCAGATGCCCTTGGCTATTCATTAACCAGTAGGAAGGCCTTGGGGAGGAGGAAGGGGTTGGACCCAGAGTCTGCTCCCAGCCTGGAGGGTGGGGAGGATGTGGGCACCACAGTCAGGTCAACCAGGTTCAATCCCTCCTAGTTGTGCCACCTTGGGAGGAGTCAATTTACCTCTCTGAGCCTCAGTTTTCCAATGTGTACAATGGGAATAATCAGTGCCTACCCCAGAGGGCTTCTGTGGAGTCTGCACACAAGTCTGTAACGTGCTTAGCCGTGCCAGTGCATAGAAGCACTTGATACATTTATCTACCTCCTGTACAAGAATAAGAGCATTCCCTTTATGTGGCCAAGGAGGGACACATGAGCTAACACCTTAACCCCCTCAGTGCTGTGTATGCTGTTCAATAGTGACTGTTGTTACTAATGTCTGCAATCGTTATGATGACCAGTCTGCAGACTGAGCTGGACTGGGTCATCTCCATGCCCATGGGGCAGCTAGTGGAGGAGGCATCTTGAGCCATAGGGACACACCTGCCCAATGTCGCAGCACAAAGGACAGGTTGCCATGGGGCCGGGGCTGCTTGTGACAGATGACCCTAGGCTAGTGGGTTCAACGACAAGGAAGGAATCAGGTCCAGCCACTGGCAGCAGCAGGCCAAGGGTCTTTAAGCCACAGACAGACTTTTCTCTTAGTCCTGGCAACCTCAGATCAACCAAATCCCATCCCTGGACCAGTGAGAGCTAAACCTTCCCCTGGACAGATTACCACCCAGGAAACCACGGTTTTCACATTCCAAAACGGAGCCTACAGTGGATGACGAAATCAACGTAAAAGGGTCAGGGCTGTGTTTTATAAAACTGGACAGAACAGACAGAACCCAGCAGATGGCAAGTATGAGGATTATCTGTGAAACTTCAGGCCCAGGGTTTGAGTTTCATGTGTGCATGTGTCTGAACACACATTACATCCTGTTGTAAAATGTATTTCTTAATGAATGCTGAGGATTAAAAGATATGGAAAGCTCCTATGGAGTATCCAGTTGTTTTAAACTAGTGATGAAAGCATACCTCCAACCCCTTTTAAAGACATTATTATGATCCTGAACTGAAAGAAGAGAAAAAATAAAGCTGCTGTAACTACTAAAACCATCAGCAAAATTTCACTGAGATGCATAGGTTAGATAATAGCATTGTATCAATGTTAAACAAATGTCCTGGGGTAGATAACTGCTCTGGTTGTGACCTGAGAAAGACCTGAAGAATGGGGCACAGGGGCACCCCACCTGCAACTGACTCCTTAATATTCAGCAATTAAAGAATCACAAGAGTCCCGTGACTATCTTTATAGGACATACAGAGAGGGAGCAAATGTGGCCAATGTTAACAATGGCAAAATCTAAGTGATGGGTGTAGCTGGGTTCCCTGCCATAGTCTTACAGTTTTTCTGAAGGTGTTGCTTTGTATAAACATAAAAAGTTTAACAGATTAGAGACAACTGTGATGACAGCCCCAAGTCTGGAGTATCCTGCCTTTCATGCACTTCAGACCCCTCTTTACAGAACTAGCCCAGTGAGACCCTGTCCCCGTGATGGGCCTGCTGGAGGCCGCTCTGCAGCAGAGCTAGGATGGGGTCCAGGTTGAGGCTCCAAAATTTGTGTTTGTCCCATCTGCAGGGCCACTGCCTCCCTGACCAAACAGGCCAACCCAGCCCAGGGGACCCACCACCCAGTGATTCAGGGGTTCCATCATCTCTTCTTAGGGCCTGGACGGGGACACACTGAGCTCCTGTGCCCCTCAGAGCAGGTCACTGCACATCACTGAGACAGCAACTCCACAGGGAGGTCAAAGGCCACTTACAGTTTGGAGGCTCCTCAGAGGGGTTGTGGTTCTGATTCTGGGCCTATCGAAAAGGGAGGAAGAAGGAAAGGAGATCTGGTCAGGGTCTGAGTGTACACAAGGCACCCATCTTCTGCCCCAGTGTGACCAGCCAACACATATGCTGGTGAGGGAATAGAGACCAGGAGAACCAGGATGCTGAGGTTCACACAGATACCAGGCAACATGCTGTCACACACAGACTCACACTCATACACATGTGTGCCCCTACACACACACACCCCTGCCCTGAAACTCAGCGGAAAGAACTTGCATATTTCCCTGCTGTCTGCTTGTGCTATGAGGAGCAGCCCTAGATCAGAGGGGAAAAGGTCTCTTCTTGCTGGTTGTGGATAGGTAAGTGACCCCTGCCCCAACCACAGCACCAGCGCAGTCATGTGGGCTGACTGTTCCTTTACTGCATGGAGACATGTCAAGGCTAAATGGAGGGGATGGAGGCTCTGGAAGCCCCGGAGACTCTTGGGGAATGTATTGCTCATCAACTAGTTCAAGGCTCTGAGAATTCCTGTGCCAAGGAAATCTGCTGAACTTTGCTGATCCAAGCAGTGACTAACCCCAGAAGCTTTTTTTTTGTGTGTGTGGTTCTGTTTTGTTTGTTTTGTTAATAGAGTACCTCTTGTTCTTTGGAACTTGGCTTGGGAAATAGGGGACCAGGGAGGCAGATCACTTCTGCCTCCCAAATCACCAGCAAAGCTTCTCTAACTGTGAGGCTGGAAGGCTCTCTGGTTTCTTAGAATATGAAAATATAGAAAACCAGAAAACAGTTTCTTCTTGACTGTGATCTTAAATTTCAGTGGAAGGTTAAATTGGAATTAGCAGAAATGGGCTAGGCTAGGTGCAAACTCTGCAAGGTCTGCAGGGCTGGGCAGGCAGAGGCCTCCAGGCCCCGGCCCTCTCACCGCATTTCTTTCCCTGCCATCAGTGGCCCTGCCCTTACAGCCTTTCTCAGACTCAGAATCGAGATTGCCAGAGCCAGGGAACATTGGTCCTGGCAGTTTATAGAGCTCTCTCTTCCCCAAATTAGATGGCCTCATTAGTCTGTTAGGGACCTCACATCCAGCAGCCTCCCTCACACTGGCATCCACTGGGTTGGAGGTACAGTGGGGTAAGAACAGTCAGCCATTTATGGAGCACCCACTATGTGCCGGACACATACTAGGCACACAGAACACAGCAGTGAACATGCCAGCTGAGTTCCCTGTGTTCATAAAGTCTGAAACACAGACTGGGTAGAGGCTGGGCATGTGACAAAGATGCCACCACAGCTTCATTTTCTTGGTAGAAGCATGGCTCTGTGAAGCCTGGGTAGATTAGTACTGTCTGCCACGGGTGTGGGCAGTGCAAGTGGTAATGTGTACCTTGCCGGCCTGGACTGTACAGAGGGAAGGCAGATGAAGGGGAGGATGAAGTTAGTGTGTTTAAAGCAAAATGATGTCTGGGAGGCAGAGGCTGGTGGATTGCTTGAGCTCAGGAGCTTGAGACCAGGCTGAGCAAGAGCAAGACCCTGTGGTTGGCCCCTATAGTCCCAGTTAGTTGGGATGCTGAGGCAAGAAGATGGCTTGAGCCCAAGAATTAGAGGTTCCTGTGAGCACAGCACTTTACTGAGGGTGACAAAGTGAAACTCTGTCTCAAAAAAATAAATAAAAATAAATAAAGCACAATGACAAGCACAATGTTTAAGGAACCAGAGGAAGGAGAACATAATTCTGTTTGGGGGTGAGAACTTGCCAATTATGCGAGGCCAGTCCACCTCAGAGTGGAGGATAAGAATGGCACTAAAGGGGGTGGTGCCTGTGGCTCAGTGGGTAGGGCACTGGCCCCATATACCGAGAGTGGCAGGTTCAAACCTGGGCCCTGCCAAACTGTGACAAAAAATAGCCGGGTGTTGTGGCAGGCACCTGTGGTCCCAGCTACTTGGGAGGCTGAGGCCAGAGAACCACCTAAGTCCAGGATTTTGAGGTTGCTGTGAGCTGTGACTTCACTGCACTCTACAGAGGGTAATAAAGACTGACTCTGTCTCTTAAAAAAAAAAAAAGAATGGCACTAAAGTCCCATTGGGTCTAGCCTGCTGGCACCCATGCCCCATCTAGGGAAAGCCCGATCTGTTCCACTGGGAGACCCACACATGCCACTCTTGGCCCACAGGGTCTGGATGGGCTGACCCCAGCCCCCACTTCTTGGTGGGCACATGAGCCAGGCCTGGCTGATCAGAGCAGCTGTCCTGTCATGATTGGCTCAAGGACAGAAGCTTGAGCAAGGCTGGCCAATAAATGATGAGTGGGACTTTTGCTAAAGATGTTAGGGAAAATGAAGGCTCTTTTAGACTGAGATGGCTCTGTGTGTGTGGGGGGGGGTAGGTACACTGTACTGGGGAGCAGCTAGGGATATCCCGTGGAGAATGGAGCAGGCACAGATGGACATAGAGACCAGAAATATCACATAACCAGGGAGCCCATCTCTCAGCACCTGGATCCAGCCATGCCTGAAGTATGTGACCCCGGGCTTCTCAATTAAAGCAGTTTTTTATTTCAAAAATTAGTTTGAACTGATTTCTACCACTTGCAAACAGACCTACACTTCACCTTGAACTTGCTGTGTAATTTTATGCACATCCTCTTATCTCTCTGACATTCATCCCACCAGAGAAGAGGGAAGTTGCAAATAACATGACACCTGAGTTCCCCAAGCCTGAGCATTCTGACTATCGCTGGCCTGTGGCAAGGGTTAGGCCTGACCAGTGCTCCCAGGGCCCCATCCCTCACCCTCAGCCACATAATCAGACATGCTGAGATCAGTCATGCTCAAAAGTTAAGCAGAAACACTCTGAGGGCTCTTAAAAGCACAGGTTGCAGGGTCCCATCCCCAAGGTCTCAGTCAGCAGGTCTGGGCAGGACCTGAGAGTCTGCACTCTGGCAAGCTCCTGGGTGATGCCCATACTGCTGGTGTAGGGAGCTCAGTTTGAGGACCCAGACTCTATATACATTCTACTCTTCCCAGTTGCTGAGGGCAGGTGCTGAGTGTAAAATTAAAGCCCTAGCTAGCAGGAGCCTGTGGCTCCTCTTGTCCTCAAAGAAGACCCCCCAATTAAGGAAAATGCCCATGTGGCTGCAAGAATGAGCCAGTCTTCAAACAACTAAAGCACCAGGTCCCCGCTCATGCAATCCCATAGATGCCCCTTTCAGCCAGCCCTGCAGCCTGGAATTTCTCCTTGGGATCCAGCAGCACCCCTCGCTGCCCACCGCTGGTCTTCCAGGCATCCCTGATGGTCCCCCGCACAGGCAGCATGCCAGCCCCAAATCCTGCAGTGGACCTTGTCTGGACACGCTGCCTCATGCTGCCCCGCTGTCAGCAGGGCCTGGCTGGCCCTGGGCTCTCCCCTGATTTACATCCGACTTGGCTGCCTTGAAAAGCCTCCTGTGGCTTTTGGAGTGAGGACACAGTTTAGTAGTAAAAGGCTTCCCCACCAGCATCCTTTCCAAGGCAGGGCTGGCCCCGAGAGTGCCAGGCCCGTTGGCTGCCAGCTGTGTAACCTTGGGCAAGGTACCTGTTGCCAGCAGGGGCCTGGGTTTTCAAGAGCAAAATGGGAAAAATGGTATCTTTTGTGAGGATCAAGAGATGATGGTTACTAAACACAAGGTCAGGCTTTTAAGGCACAGTGATGCCTCCTTTTTTTTTTTAATTAAATCATAGCTGTGTACATTAATACTATCAGTGATGCCTCCTTAGTAGTGTTATTTTGACTCAAGCTCAGTCCCCAAACCAGCAGCCTGGACATTGCCACAAAGTGGGTTAGTAATACAGAGTCTCAGGCCTCGCCTCAGACATGCTGCAAGGGAAGGGGCATTTTAACAAAATCCCACGTGACAGCACACGATTCCAAGTCTGAGGGGCCCTGCTAGGAATGGTCATTCCAGTGTTATCCCAAGACAGAGCCAAGGTATGACCAAGCAACCTCCTGGGCTGCCCCTGGACTCTGATGCTCAGGCCTGGCAGGCAGAGGTCACAGGGGACAAATGTGGTGGTGGGGAATTCTCCCATGTCTTTCAGCCTCCAAACTAGGGAGGAGCCCTGCAGCAGCAGCTGGCCAGGTAGGAAGTGTCCCAGGCCGAGTCTGTCCGGCAATGGGAACTGGCCGGCAGGTATCATCACTATTGGGGGAGGGGTTGGCCATAGCCAAGGTAACAAAATAAACTGACAACAAGATTCCAGGTCACAGATTTGGGGCTTTTGGCAGTCTGGTTGCCTCTGCCCCTCTCTGCAGAAGGCTGAAGTTTTTTATGTGCAAAGAAGGCAAATGACCCCCTTGCTGAAGCGCCCTGCCCAGAACGCAAAGCACAGGTCGGTATAGGTGCTGCCCTGGAAGGTGAGGTGGCAAGTGCAAGCTCTCTGCAGAGCAGCTTGAGGTGTGGGGGCCGCCTGGACTCCCCTGCCCCAGGCTTGAACTGCTCCCCACACACCAAAAACAAAACTACGAGCTCAGCAACCTGACAGAGCCCCGGAACTCCCCCTCCCTTGCTCAAATGCTGCAAATGGAAAGCTAAGGAAGTGGAGGGTCATGACTCACCCCCTGCGCTGTACTGCGTCAGCTGGGAGTGCTTCCACCTGCCCGGAACCAACCAGCAAAACGCACAGTGTGCGGTCATACTCCTGTGCCTCCAGGGCCAGGACAGTGGGGCTTGGGGACACTGAAGAGTCCAAGGGAGGCTGGGGGGCGGCTGCCACCCTGTCTGTGTGACAGCAGCCAGGTGGGCGTGGGCCCAGGGTGGCTACACCATCCCGCTGGGTCCAGAGACACCTGACAACTGGAAGTAGCTGCAAAAAACAGCCCATGGTGAAACAATATTGGGTCCGATTTATAAAACACTGTGAGGACAGCACAGAACACTTATGTGACCCAGAGCTACTCCTGAGAGACCATTTTGCAGTGACTGGTGCTGGGGAGAAGTGGAAG